TGTGTGTACTGCGTCAGGTGTGTGTGCCCCATTCATTAGCCACAATGTTCTGATCATTGGGGTGAAACTCAGGGCTTGCTCTGCCTCGGTTCACTTGGTTCAGAGAGAATACGACCCATATTCTCTGATGCTGGTGAGAGTAGTACGCATAAAATTGAATATATATTTTGGATCATTAGTTTATTTTTAAAGGATGTTCACTTACAATGAACTGATAGTCTTATAAGAAGTGGTAAGAAGGTGATGAACACAAATGTACGGCGTATTTCAAGTCTTAGTGTGATAAACAAGAACATTTAATTTAATTGGGCATTATTAAATAAATTACAACTGGAAAATATGACAAAGTTTTTTGTTTTTTTAAAAACCCAAATGATGTATTACTTATGTCGTTTTTTGCGTTTTTCTGTTAGTAACAATTAAAAGATGTTTTTAACCCAACGGTGTGTAGCAGAAGTAAAACCCAGGTACCAACAGGATCAAAGCAAAACTCCAGAGATGTTTTTGAAGAGGGAATAACATGATAACATGACGTAAAATATGAAAAACAAGTTGATTTTGCATCAAATCCAACTTGACAACTGCTTTTTGTTTTTACTCAGGTCATCTTTGTCTGACATTGAAACTTTTAAGCATGACAGAAACAAAAAGAATGAATCTGAACAGTGGAAATGTTGCAACACAAGATGCTTTGGAATAGTAATACAGAATATATCAATAATTCATAAGATGATGCCAAACTTTAGCTCAGAGGCCACTCAGTGTCCAAAGCTCAGGAAACATTTAGCTTGTTGTAATTACCTTTGTGCTGAGAAGAGCATTGTGATTAGCAGGCATGAATGATGCCACAGTTAACGACAAATCCCTGATTCTGGACCAGGATACAGGAAATCCATTTGCTGGCTTGTGCAGAAGAAGCCAAAAAAGAAAAAGTGATGAAAATGTGTTAGCATACCAGTTACCCCGGGAGTTGAGCAAACAGTCGTCTAAGAGGTTAAACAAAGAGGAAGATAATTCAGATTCTACTGTTTCTCTCTGTGAAGGTTTTAAAAGTCAGACGTCAAAGTGTGTGTCTAATTTTATCCAGCAGAGGTGTGTGTTTGACACGTCCATCATTTCAGATTATTAATTAGTGATAAAAACTGTCATCATCCTGATAGAAACCAATTTACCAGCTGTTTTTTTTTCAGTTGATGTGTTCCATATTTAGTGGTCATTAAGCTTGTGGCTTAATCCTGAATAGATTATCATCTGTTTTTCTAACTTAAATTGTGTCGTACCTTTAAATTCCTTGAGGATTTTTGCTGACAGCAGCTGGATGTCTCTAATGTAAACTGATCAAAATGACTGGAAAAGTTCAGTCCATTTACTCTGGTTTCCTCTTACTGTTCATGAGCGTGACCACTGTTGGGTTAATTGGTCTTTCAAAAATTTTCCTTCGGTGTGTGTGTGTGTGTGTGTGTGTGGGTGGGGGGGGGGGTAGGTGTGAGTGTGTGTGTGTTGTTTGTCCTGTGTGTTTTTCTTTTACTCTGGGGTGGACTCTGGACCTGTCCTGGTCGAGTTCCAGCCTCTTGCCCCTTCACAGCTGGAAACAGTCACCAAAATTCGATTTGTTGGATTAAAATGACTATTTAAAGTTCAGACCTTCATCTCTCACAGATCATTTCAGGAATCCCAGTTCCTTCATAAATGCCATGTGACGTGAGTGGGCAGCTGCAGCCCACATTCCTGCGTTTATAACACACATCGAGACTGTTTTCAACGAAACATCGGACACACAAGGCTCCTTTAGAGGGATGAGCTTCAGCAGATTACAGATCTCTTTGTTGAGGAAAAAGCAATCAGGCTAATTATTAAGTGCCTACTAACAGGGGATATCTCCATAATTGAATTGTGACTCTCTCTCTCTGGCTTGTACGCTGAAGAGCGTAGGGCCTGAGATGCTGCTGGTGTCCATGGCGACTCCTTGATTCTGCTCTGAATCTGGAGAAGAGATGCACAGTTGGCAGTTTAATTTTCTGATGGCTGTCGATAGCACTCCCAGGGATTCAGGAAAACCTCAAGTCATTTTGGGTTTGTTTATCTGAGTGCTTGTGGAAACGCCACAGTGAACTTTTCTGAAGCACTCTTTGGCTTTCAACTCAATCACAGTCATGCAGGATGGATTTTTAAATCCCATCATCTCCAAATTGAAACCATTTACTGAAGCAACCAGGAAACCCAGACAGAGCTGTTACTTACTAATTATTTAGTCAATTTAGTTTTTGGATATGATGGCAGTATTAGGGTCTGGCTTGCTTTGAACAACTATAAATAATTGTCTTGGGCAATTATTAATAAATCTATCATTTAGATTAGTTGAGTTATTCTAAAACACACTGACCTTTGCGTCGCTGTGCCTTCCTCACGCTTATTTCTAAATCTCTGACATTATTCAGTTTTTGACAGCTACACCCTAAAGTTGACTCATGTCAATTTGTCAAGAGTATTGGATGGAATCATCATTACTTTTCTATTTGAATGGAAGCCTGTAAATTACTGAAATCCCCAAATAATTGTTGGTCTAGTTTCTATATCTTAGTACACCTGAAGTAAGACAAAACAAACTTAAAAGTAACTTTTGATCAAGTTTTATAAACTTGTTTTTAGTTTTTAGAAAGTCTGTAATATTGTACTTGTACCTTTGGCATTTTATTTCACTTATAAATTATAACAAGACATTTTTCGTAGATTGTAGAATTTCATGACATCTTATAACCTGGGAGTTATTGACTTCAAATTCAATAATCCCCATAATTAACTTTTCCTACTTGCTGAAAAGTGACTTATAAGTTAGTTTGGTCTCATTTCAAGTGTACTAAGATATTTGCACTAGACATGAGACCAAAAATACTTGGTAATATTATGAGTTTTTTCAGTGTTATGCCTAGATATTCCATATTCAGGAATTAGTGAGTTTTCTACAAATAATTTGGAGTTGCAGAAAAAAAATCCACAAATAATAAAGATCAAATAGGCAAAGGTTCACTGTATGCAAGTATCGAATGGAGACCTGAATCTACATGACAACAGATTCTTCTTTAAGAGTGTAAAATCAAGGTCCAGAAAAAAATCACAGCATCAGCCTACCAGTTAAAATCTAAAGTCTGGGAGACATGTTGCATTTACATGTGAAATCATCCACACAAAAAGCTGTTAAAGAACAAATTGTCATTCCATCTTAATGTGATGCTTTCGAATACTGATCCCTGTAGGCAGGGACTGAGTTTACAGCAACACATAAAACACTCACATAACGCTGGCTACTTGAGTCCAAAGAGAGTTTTATTTGCTCTTCAGTGTCAGTGTTTTAATGATACACCTTAAAAGATGGAAACATTTTAACAGAATAGACGCTAAGCTACCAGCAAACAAACTGCAGACATGAGATGAGAATGAGGAAATTGTCCTTAACGGCACATTTTAAGTTGGAATGTGCACAAGGCCAAACACACCATCTGCCACTGGAGGTTCTTTTCCATTAGCTATTGACAAACAACAGGGAATGGGAGAAAATCATCAAGAGTGCAGAGATGCATAGAAACCAAACAATTCCTGCTGATGACTCTACTGCAGAGCCTCAGTCCACTGAATGACAGGCAAGTTAAGAATAACATGTTCATATCATCCATCCAAAAAACATTAGCTTGTAGTCAGCTTATAATTGAACCAGCACAAAAATCTATGACAGAAACAAGCATACACACACACACACACACACACACACCAATGCACACACACGCGCAGACTACCACATGTCATTATCAGGTGATTCAAAGTAAAGGTTTAAGCTAATTATCTTCTAGAATTGTCCTTCTGAGAAATATGCTAATCTTTTAAAGACTCACAGTTTAGCTAATAGCAAAGTTTCTGTTGTCTTCACAAGCTAAAGTTAGCATTTTAGCATCTCAAAGCTGTTTCACTTATTTAATTGTTCATTTCAATCAGCTGCTAACTTCACTATCAGTTTTGTTGACTCTTATATGTTTGTCAGTAACACGTCCCTCTCTGAGTTTCTTTTATGCTTTTTGGATGCATTGGATAGTGCAGATCTTATGCTAGCTAAATTGCCTAATGATGCTACTGGAGATGCTATAACTGTGGTGTAGCTGTATAAGTAACCTCTTTGTTTCATCAATTCATAATCTCATCTAAAAACTTAGAAATAGAAAACCATTCATATTTTTATTTGAATGCAGCTTTGGGATATATTTGAAAACGACTTGAAGAGGCTTTAGGAATACCAATAGTACCTATTATTGAAAGCTATCTTACACACTGATCATTACGGTATTTTGGAATTGGAGAGGAGGCACCAAGTCTTTATCTTTCCTGGGTAACCTAAGTGGCTTCTGGCAACTACAGGAACACGGCAGTTAGTTGTGCTGGTACCATTGATTTTTGAAACTATTTTAAAACAGAAACTAAAAGCAGTCCACTCACATTCGGTAAAAGAATCATTTGGGTTTTTCTTGAGGTGGCGGAGAAAGAGTCACACAGCTGAATATCAATTCACTAGTTGACTCTGAAAATGAGGAAGATGAAAGCACACAGGAAAATCTAAAGACAGGAGATCAAGTTCCAAGAGACAGCTCAAAGCAGAAAGGATTTATGGATTCACCAGCAAATGTATTGCTTTAGATGACCAACTTAAAGTCATTAAGTTTCTATCACTGTTTGATGCTTCTGTGGTACATCCTGCTCTGGACTCTACATCACTTCAGTCTACTTACAATTTAAGTCCGTCAGATCGTTATGGGGATAGAAAAAAAAAACAGCTGAATGACAAAAGAATGTCATACTGGTTTTCTTCAAATAGCACCTTCCAGAAAACAGAGGAGCATTGTTTTCTAAATCTAGCTGAAGTGGTTCTGATACCAAAGACATGACATCATTTATTCATTTTTTTATTTAACTTTATTTTTCAGGACAGAAATCCACTGGGATTATTCATCTTTTTCTCCAGGACATCCTGGTCAGGATAAAACCAGATGAAAACAAACCATTACAACTACAACATAACACCAACACCAACAATGTCATCAAGCTAAGTTATTTACAGCAACAAAGTATCAAGCAATAAAACAAAAATGGCAATTAACAACATATAAATTTAAAAAAATACAGCACTGAAGCTTTATTTAAACAAGTTATGAGTGAAATCTGTCAGATTTTGTCTAAAACTAGAAGAAAAATAGGAGCTGCACATTTTTCCATCTTGATGAGTCAAAATAGGACAAACTCATCCTTCCTGACACAGAGGAACCGCCTTAAACCACATCCATCTACAAGTCGAGTTAGTACAGCACATTTCAGAACCAGGCAGGTCAAAGTGCTTTACATCATAAAATATAACACAAAAAACAATTATGAAACAAACAGTGAGCATTACTTTTTGTCAAATCCTATCATCAAGAAAATATACATCAAATATACTGATCAGTGTTCCAGTTATTATTAACCAAAGGCAAAGAGATGGACTGTGTGTTTTGGAGCTCAGCGAACTTGGAGTAAATAAATGTTGGGAATTTTCCTAAACTTACTTTGTATTTGAAAATACATCAGAACTTCATTCTATGAATACAGAGTGAGGAAATGAGGTAAGTGGGTCGATACACCTACTTAGGTGGCAAGATAAGAAACAGTGGTGTGTCAGCTTTCAGTAGGCGGGTCACTCACAAAGATCGATGAAATCAATATCAAGTCGTGTCTGTATTGGATTGATACGAGTGTCTTAGTTTCAGATTCCCTCTTGAATTTTTTATTTATTTTTGTGCTGTGGTTTCTTAACTCTATCTCAAAAAAGATTTGTTTGATTTGCTCTCTAATTATCTTTTTTTTTTCATTTTATATATTTTTTGGTTTTCCCTTGTTTCTGTTTATCATGTTAATGTGTAATTAAAATATAAAACTTAACCAAATTATCTCCTATGTCTGAGCAAAACATAGGAGAAACTTCTGGTACCTAAATTGTGAAAGGTTTGATGCATTATCAAATGTAAATCAAAAAATGTTGATACCAATCAGGATCGGTACTGGCCCTGTATTTACCTGGTACTGAATTGCTTCTACAATATTTAGTACAACACACCTCTGGTTTTCAGATATGCCCATTCTTTCTGTGTCCTTTAACAGAAGGAGCTGCAGTTACTGGCTAAAAGAACAGTGTGAGTTTAATTACCTCTGGCCAACTGGATAGAGAGAATGGCAAGAAGAGTCAGAGATGAAGGAAAGGTTTCTATTAGCTGTGGTTCCATTACAAATGTGAGAAAAACTTTTTAAATTTTCCGCTAATGTCGAAAAAATACAATTCCACAATTGCATTGTTTCCATTAAATAAGAACCAATGTAAATCCCATGTAAATAAGTCATTAATAAAACATGTCTTATTCATTATTTGTGCCAGTGGCAACATCAAGTTGTTGATCATGTGACTCGTGTTTCCATTGCACTTTTGATACAGCCAGAAAAACCACCTCATCCTAGCACCAACTCTTTTTATGGAAAAACAATGGGGTTTTTCCAAATTGGTACGTTTCCATTAAGCAAATTAATTTTCAAAATGTCAAATTGCGCAATTATATGGTTAATAGAAACGCAGCTACTGGAAGTGACCAGGCTGAGATTTATGTATTAGAAAGACAGCTTAGGTTGGGAAGCCAGGGAGGCTATGATGGTTAGGAGAGGACGGATAAGGACATATGATTTAGAATTTGGAGCTAGGCTACAGGAGGAGAGGAAGGTTACAGAGAAAACAAGGCTCATGAATGTAGTGAATAACATCATTGAGGACAGAGTTAAATGAATGCAAATGATTCAGTCCAGTGATCCCTTCAGGAAGCATCCAAAAGAAGAAGAAAGTGCATCATGTTTGACACCGTTAGCCTGAAAAAATATCTGCTGGAAACTGAATATCTGTATCCATGATGTAGAGAACATTACCTTCTTTCTTGAAGGTATTTGAATTTGTAAAGGTTATGCACTTTGAGAGACATTCACACACCCGACAAAGGCAGCAATGGTCATAGAATGAACAGCTATACACGCTACAGCACACAATACGGTAACACCAGGAAACAAATCACATGCTGTACATTTACATCTCATGTTGTTTACAGAGCATGTATTATTTATTGTCTCCATCTTGGAGCCAGTGAGAAAGTCCAACACAGTTTCTTAGGCCGTTTTTACACATGAAGTCTTTTCACTTGGATTCTCGTATTTTTCTGCGTGAAATAAACGGACAACAGCAGAATCTAAATATTCAGAGGGAAGAAAGCAGAACCAATCACAAAGCACCTCAGCGTTTCTCTTAAAGTAATTTAAGATTAAATTGTTTTAATGCAAAAGTTTACATAATCTACAATGTGGTAATGGTTCCACCTTTTCTTAAGTTAATTACAGACCCTGAAATTAACTCTATTAAAAATAATTTTACTGAGTCCCACCACTAGTTTTAATGCAACACAAAGTGAAAATGGTGAAAAGTGAAAGTAGTGTTAACACTTTTGTTCAGATGTGTTTATTGTCTCCCAATCACCTCACTCTGTTGTCATAATTTAAACTCTGAACTTGTAGGAAAACCCACGTTTGAGCTGGGTTTGATTTCTTTTACAAAAAGTTGTGTAAAGCATGTCCGCTCAGCTGAAGTCATCATCCATCACCTCCGTCTCTGTTTCCAGGACTGCGAGCTCCGGTCTGATTCCTGTTGGTTGAGGAAGCTTAATTTGCCAGAGTGAGTCATTGCTTCAGAGAGCACCGCGCAACTTTTCACAAGTGTCCAACAGGGCGAGACAGACGCCAGAGTTTCTTTTTCTAATTATTGTCGTGGAGTAAACTTGAACAAAATATCACTGGCAGTCTCTGAAGTATTAGTCTGCAGGCATTAAGTCATCGTCGTGGTTGAGGCAGCCAGTGGTGGTCTCCAATGGACAGCTGAGTACCAACAAATTTTGATCCCAAAGTGGGTCTACAGACATCCAGACAGAAGTTCTGTGATATGTATCCTTCCATCTAATTCGAAATTGATTGTACTTCTAAATATTTAGCAAGAAACACTTTAAAATCCTCTAATCACTCATTCTAGTGCAGCGCAGTTCGTTGTGGCCTCCTTTTGATCAAATCTGTTCAAGCAGAGGACTCTTCCACCGAGCCGTCGTTGGTTTGGTGTGTCATATATTCCTAGCTTTGTTAATGTAAAAAAAAAACAAAAAAAACACTGAAGCTGTTTTTTCCTGATGTGCCAAAGCAATCACTGAAATCCTTCAAAGTGTACCAGCTGCTGCTGTTTTCTTCAACTCTTCTACCGTCTCACTTTGAGCTAAAAACTAAGAACATTCTGTTTCATGATCTTGCCGTAGGATGATGGGCTTTGGACAATCTGTCAAAGTCAGACACTGTTTTTAATAGTGAGCTCAGAGATTCCTGCTTATTTTACCCCAGTACTTTACCCTCACTGGGCATCAAAACTCTGTGGTGGAGATCAGTGTGTCCTGTGACTGTGGATCTTGATGGATTGTGCTCATGTTGGAGTTAAGCGGGACCCTCTCCTCAGCTAGTCATGCAGGCTTCCTTCCTGCCTCGGTCGGAGCACAGACAGACACCGGCTCCCGGGTTGTGTTGCGGGCGCTAGTCACACTGGTCTGCTCCATGCGGGTCCGACAGGGCAGGCAGAAATCCCTGAAGCAACGCTTGAAATTTTCATCCAAAAAGGCGTAGAGGACAGGATTGAGACTGCTGTTGGTGTAGCCCAAGGCGATGGACAAGTGCCAGCTGGCTATGACAAAAGGATTCCTGGTGTCGATCTCCACCATCGTCCTCACGATGATAAAGATCTGGATGGGGGTCCAGCAGATGATGAAGGCCGCCACCACCACCAGGACCATGCGGGTGATTCGCCGCATGTTGCGGTCTTTCTCCTTGGAGCCAGAGAGCAGACGGACGCTCCTCAGACGCAGGATCATCAGGCCGTAGCAAACAGTGATGACCATCACAGGGACCACAAAAGCGAAGATGAAAACACAGATCTTAGTCACGGTGTCCCAGTACCAGTCAGGGTCAGGAAATTTCAACATGCATGTAATGTTACCTGAAAGAGAACGGGGAAAAAAGCAATTTGATGGACTTAAAGCTTAGCTAAAGGATTACAAGCATTATCATCTCCTTTAGGCTCGATACAACTTTTTCACTTCCGATACGATGCTGAGATTTGAGTATCGGCTGATACCGATATTGACCTGATGCTGAGATTTGAGTATCGGCTGATACCGATATTGACCTGATACCGTATCAGCATGAATCATACATACTGTTATTTCTTATTTTGTAGTGTAGAATGTTAGAAAAGGCTTGGTCAGGTGATATTGCTCTTAAAAACTATTAACAGCAATAGGGATGAGATCGACTGTGGGTCTGCCATACAAACACTGCCATAAAGGAATGCTGAAGAAGAGGATTCCTATAAAATAAACTTATATCACATATTTTAAATGCAGGCTGATATAATTCGACTGTTAATCATTTTTTGGCTGATCCCAAACTGATATCAGTATCGGATCAGGACACCACTGTGTAATACTGCTGCAGGTTATTTTCATAATGCGAACTGAGAACAATAATTGTCTCAAATCATTTCACATGACAGTTGTGTTTCCAATTTTATGTTATCAACCTCAGTCCAATTTGATCCATTGCAGTCAGAATCAGCTACAGCAGTTCGTTTCACACTGCACTGTGTCAAACAAACTAAACCCCTAAAAAACTGTTCCTCTATTCACCTGTGGTGGCACTGCACCAATAACTACTGAAAACGTCTGAAGAAGAAGATAAGAGCACGACTTACTTCTTCATGGAACATAAACTAAAATGGAGTGGGGTCAGATTTTGGTAGCTTGAGGCTTACATACATTAACGACTTATTGTATGTAAGCCATTGCTTACATAGCAAGTAGTGGAAGATGTTGACTTTTGTTTTGATTGTATTTACCCAGAATGCTGTGAGCTATAGTCCACTTCCTGCTTTTATAGCGGTCTCTGGTCCACTAGGCGTTCACATATGCATTTGAACCGCACCAGAGTTCAATTCCTCCAAAGCGAGACCTAAGCTTCCAGGTGGACCAGAGTTCGCCTTTTTAGTTTGCATCAGAGTTTGATTGTGCAGTCACACCTCCCCAAACGTTTGTTTGCCTAGAACTGGACATTCTAGGCAAATAAACTGAAGCTTGACTAAAGCGGACTGAACAGAGCTGGTGTGAATGCAGCCCTAAATATATTTATTAGTACCACTATTCACATCAGCTTAAGTACCTCCAGTGCAACTATCAGAAAATAAATGACCATTAAAAATAATAATAACTAATGCTTCAAGAAACCTAAAATGTCATAAACCTCATAGTGAAAGAGACTGTTTCCTTACCAGCCTCTGTCACTCTGGTCACAGCCATAACCATAATCGGCACCCCAATCGCGGACGACAGGACCCATATCAAGACGTTGATCATCTTAGCCTTGACCGGTGTCCGAAAGCCCAACGCCTTGACGGGATGGCACACAGCGATGTAGCGGTCCACACTCATCATAGTGAGGGTGAAGATACTGGTGAACATGTTGTAGTAGTCAATGGCGATGATGAGCTTGCACAGAGCCTGTCCAAAGGGCCAGGTGTTCATGAGGTACTTTGCGCTCTGGAAAGGCAGCGTGCTGGTGGCCAGGGCATCGGCCAGGGCCAGGTTAAAGATGTAGATGTTTGTGGCTGTCTTCATCTTGGTGTATCTGGTAGGAATAAAAATGCACACAAGACAAGTAGAAGAGTTAAAAATCAAGCAGCAATATTTGGAGTAGTTGGTTATGGAGTGTAGGATAAACACTGAGGGACAGTTTGGGAGGATCAATCCTGTACAGCATCTTTTGATGTGTTTAATATTATAAATATATTTATCCTCTGTGCTCACCTCTTTTATTTGTCAAACAATTTACAAGTAATCAGAAATGGAGAGCTTTTTTAGGTGCAAAATATTGGATTTTGAGCTTTAAAAAACATGTTTAGACAAACACACTGCAATCTGGATGAAGGGACAGGAGGAATAGTCAAATCAAATTTAAGAAAGGTCACACCGATTCTCTGGGTTTTCTCAAGTTTTCACACTGAAATTTCAGTAACATGTGGAATGACACTTTATGAATTATGCGATAATATCAACTTACCAGAAATAATACAAATTCAGCACTGTCTATTCAGAAGCTTACCTGTTTGAAAGTATTCATTTAGCACCTGAAGTTAAGCTTGTTCTGCCTGGGAAAAGGAAAAGGGAAAATACCTTTTGTCTTGTCCTCATAAAAGTACCTCTGTTGTTGTTAGGTAATCTCACTTCCTTACTGTGGATGCCCACTGAATTGACTTCAAACAGAGGCCACTTAATTCTGAACTTCATGAGCAATCGACTTAATTTTCTTCTAACAAGTGTGGTATCAGGAATGTGGAGGACAGAACACCTCCAAGGAGTTTTGTGCTGCAGACTTAACCTGCATTTAGAGCAGACCATCCCCAGAGATGTCAGTGTGAGCCTTCCCACAAGCAATCAGACCAAGGGCTCTCAACAGCACCACCGCCCAAAGCCCAATCCACACTGACGTGAGGATCCATGCAGATCTGCTATAAATAGTGCTTTTACGCATTTCAGAGTTTTGAAATGGCATCTGAGTGAAGGCCAGAATCCAAAATTCATGAGGCTTCGCTTATTTACATGCAGTCTGGGGAAAACGACTTACAAATTGATGTTTTTTTTATTTTATTTTTTATAAAAAAAAGCTTCTGATTTGAATTAGCTCAGATTAAAATGTCCCTCACATCTAATGGTTTATTATTCTGGATCTTTTCCATTCTGTGTGTTTTTCTGAGCGAACCACTCCAGACGTCTCAGGCCGTTGTGTTACCTATAAAAATGTTCATATTTCTGATCTCAGTAGCTTCAGGTCGGATTTTATTGGAGTCGTACATTCTCAGAGGTGATTTAACAGACTGCTTGTTGCATAAATACCAGATCTCTTATCTGCAGTGGTTACATAACCTCACTGATGCGTTAGGCAAATAAGACATTTATCTATAATGAAGGTCAAGTGCTTAATGGGATAGTTTAGAATTTTTGCACCAAGGTTCAGTTAGAAGCTTTTAAGCAGAAAATATATTCCCAGCTGGTTGATAATTGGTGTTTTTAACATCTTAGAAGGACAAAGTTACTGAAGCACCAATTAATCTGGGAGTAAAGTCACACCTGACTGCATGAGAAAAGCAGTGGCATTTAGTAATTATGGTGGAGCTAACCAGCTAATTGCTATTCATTCAAACACTTACAACACATGTCCACAAATACAGCATTACGCACCAGACCAAGGTAAAAACTCTCAAAGGTGCTAACAAATACTTCATACCTGCAATTCTCACCAGGTTGTATAAAAATGGCAGCCATATTGGATCCGGGGTTTGTTTTTGTTTGTTGAAGTGGGAACATAAAAAAAAAAAAATCTTACCGACAAATACAAATAAAAGTAAAAATGATGCGGAAAAATAACACCTGCCTGAATCTAAGCTTAGAGCTCAGAAGCCAACAGCAGCCGTTGTATTTTTAGTTCCCCTTTTTACTTTGACAACCTCATTTTACTTAGTTCATCTGTCTATGCCTATTTAATGTTGGGTTCCGTTTTACAGGATAAACTTGACAACTTCCAACTTTCCTCTGCAGAAAAAAAATCTAACTCTTGTGCAAAGCTAGTCCATGAAAAGTTTCTTGGGGAAGAAAGAGTTGCTGCACTTTGCAAAGACAGGAACCTTGAGCACTTCGTGACTTTGTCCTTTTCTAGTGTCTCGCTTTAAACTGTCATTATGGACAAAATAATAATCCAATATCTCAAACCAGCAGCCAATCAGTTAACCGCACATCTCTGCATTCTTTTCATGCTCAATTTTTATTTTCTGTAAGGCCCTTTGTGTTGCTTTCATTGTGTAAAGTAGAACTAAAGGCTAATGGATTAATACACTAACATGTCCTCTCATGTGATTTTCACATGAAATTCATTGGATTTGTTTTTTCCTGTAAAGTAATTCTGTGACCTGCAGTGGCTCTTAGAGAGGAGAGCTTTCACTGCATGGACAGAACGGCTGGGCGACTGGGATCCTGTCGGGTAGAAAGACCAGGTGGAGAGGAAAACCACTTCAATGTGGCTGGAATGAAGTTTTTCCTTTCTTTGTTTATACTGAAGAAAATTCAGGCACAAGGTTTCATTTGAACTATTTCAGCCTTTACTTTATAACAAACCTTCACTCTTCTCTTCTGTATCAGCTAATTATTAAATATTCCTTGTCATGACTCATATTTTTTCAGGCATCATTAATATACATTTTCATGACAGTACTTTTGCACTGTGTAGCAGACTGATTGATGATAATTATAATGTGGCAGCATGCATTGCACCAGTCTTCATAAATTTACATAAAACGTCTTTTTTTGTCCAGTAAAAGAGTCAAACTGTTAACAGTTTTTGATTTTAACAGTTTTGAGGATTTAATCAGTATTCCAGAACAGTTGTTATATAAATATTGTGTAGACTGGCCAGTTATTACAGATTAAAATATTAAAAAGTTTTAGATTTTTCTTGGTTTAATTTTTTCCTAATAGCACTTAGTTTTCTAAAGGGCTTCAAAAAATGAATAAAAAAGTGAAATTTGAGTAATTGTGGTTTATCATCAAGTCTTTCTGACTCGAAAATTTAGTTTCTTTTATTTCTACTTTGAACAGCCCATCAAAAAAGGATTATTTTCAAGGCTTTTCATTTGTTTTATTTATTTGTTGATTTTATTTTGGCGGTGTGGGGGGCTTTGAATTTGAAAGTAATAATAATTTTCTACTTTTTTTGGAATGTTTTTATAATCTAGAAAACCTAATGAAAAAGCACAATTGCTCCAATTTAGTAAATATTCATTTGTTTATTTAATGTTCCTTTAGAAAAAAAACAAGCAAATAAAAAAAGTATTTTATTCTATAATTATAGTTTCATCTCTTTCCTATAATAATGACCTAAGTCATGTTTGCCAAGTAATTTTGGCAAAAGAAAAACAAACAAACAAAAAAATAATCACCACCTCTTTATGGCCCAAAAAATACATTTTACAAAAAATGACAGGCCATTTTCTTTTGGAAGGTGATCATTTTCTTTTGTTGCAGAGAATTTCCAAGGCCACAAGAGAAAAAAATGGGTCAGACTTAGGAAATGGTTCTGCATAAAAAAATATCCCCTCACATTTTAGGGCTTTTGTACTCAGGAACTAATTTTATTTTGACTAGAATGATCAAAATCAAACAGTAATAATTACTGTATTTGACCTGTTTACTCTGCCTGACAAATCAGATCTAAGAAGGAATTTGTTCATAATTTATAGGCAAGGAGATAAATAGGTATGAAAACTATCATGTCTGAGATTAAGGATCCATCAGTCCTGACCAGGATCAGGTTGTTTTCTATAAAATAAACTTCATTAGCATGTTTTGACCTGGTGCCTGAAGCCTCTAACCTACATAATTTATTACCATCATGTCCCTCCATTGGTCCTCCTGTTGTGTTTTTTTTCACACACAATTTTCACTCAGACCTCAGAAAAATGGAAAATAATTTTATACATTTGAATTTTCAGAAATGCTTTCCCGTTTTTTTGTTTTGGTTTTGTTTGTTTTTTCCTTCCACATTTCCTCTTCTGATCTTGGCTTCTGTTTCTTTTCCAATAAAATGCCACCAGCAGCTGATGTGACAGTTTGTTTCTGCTGCCAGGTCCTGCTGCTTCGCCTCCTGTTTGGCTGTCCACTGAGACCGCGGTGTTAGAAAATAAATCTGCCCGCTCTTCTGATGCACTGGCAGGATCAGCCAATCAGAGCAGACTGACCAACAGGAGTTAATGGAGCCTGTTTCTAAACAGCATCTTCAGAGAGTCACGTTTTATGATCTTTTCATAAGAGAGTGTATTGCAGTGTATTATCAATGTTTCAATAAATTCCAATTAATGACCTTAAGTAAACAAAACTGTGTCAGTATTATTGGAAACTTTATGTTTACAATTTCAACTGTTTAATGAGAGCATAAATAAATATTGGTACATTCAAAGATATGATTAAATGTAGTTACTTCGTTCAGTTTATTAATATAAATTCCACTTTTTTCAGTATGTGGCATCCTGAAGAAAATTTGTTCTAATGTTTTTCAAGAACAGTATTTGTGTCTGTGCTGCTATGATTGCTTTCTATACAGAATAAATTGTTTTTCAGCTAAATCTTTTTTTATTTTTATCATTATGATACAGCAAATATCACGGTACATCTCTTTGTGCTCATGGCCCACCCTGGGTGGTGGTAAGAATATGTGAATGTATATGAAATCACTTGTTCATGATGAAGACAGTTCATCCAGAAACAATAGAATCCAATGCATGCACACAAATACTCATCATGACGTAATAAGGCACGATTAAATTCATGAACATTTCTTTTCACTTCCTGCTCAAACCCAATCCAACCAATAGGCTGCTGAGGTCAGAGTGGCAGGTTCTGCTGAGCAACTTCTAATACTAATGCATTTTTCTCACATTGAAAAGGTTTTATTTTTAGCTTCTTTTTTTATTTTATTTTATTGTAAGATAAATATATATTTTTTTTACTTTCATCTTGACATTAGGTAAATAAATCAATTATTTAATAGTCTGGAATTTTCTGTTTCCCTGGGTTGTGACTGTAATGGGACACAAACACCTTCTGTGAGCCACTGATCAGTAGGACTCGTGTTCATCCTGCCTACAGACGCAGTGAGCAGAGGAAGGTCATAGCACACTGTTAAGGAAATGCAGCAAAGAGATGATTGTTGGGGGTCACCACGTTACCATAACAACCGGCAGAGACTGTCTAAAATGCCAACTGGGTGTGAGAAAAAAATGATACAAAAAAAATAAATCTGGCATTTCTGTTCCACCTTATGCAAAAAATGTAATCATGAGGAAGTTATGAAACTCTACTGAGAGTTTGACCAGCGCTGTCCATTGTGGTCAGATGAGATGAAGAGATTTTCAGTCACAAACACTCTGGTTACGTTCAGCATAAATCAGAGGACCATATCTTGTAAATCTCCTCATGCTGTTATGTTTGTTACTGCAAATTAACGATTGGATCTGCTGAGTTTCCTTAGATGGAAACGCTTTAATCAACTTTGAATAATTCCATCAGTTGTAAAGTATGTCTGATTTAATTAAAATGATTATTTTCATTAAGTGCCTTGAGATGACATTTGGAGCTATTTAAGTAAACTGAACTGAATTGAACATTATGCTGTGGGTCAAAGTCCTCTCCAAAGAGTCCTGAGGATGCAATTACCTTATACTGAAATATTTTAAATAAAACTATGGTGAACTCTTCCAGTTACATGAAAATGAGCCATAATTGGGTATTTTAACAAGCTGATTTAATACATATGGCTACTTTAACACAAGGTTCATCAGACTCAAAATGAACATTCTTTCATCATCATTAAAGACCTTATTCCTGCAGAAAAGATGAGAGAGACTGGAGAGATCTGTCTGAGGGCTCCGGCCACAGCAGAGCAGTTTAATGAGACACTAGAGGTTTTCAACGACTACTGGGATTTTGTCTAATTAATAAATTGGAAAAGCTGGATCTTTTCTGACTTAAAATAAAAAGTCCCCCATTTTTAAGTGAGTACTTGTCATCTCACTTAAAGTCACTTTTTAGTTTATAAAATCCAAATTAAACCTATTTTATTGCACACACACGCGTGAGCGCGCGCACTCACCGCTCATACTTACCTGACCACTCCGTACATGACGAGGACGTTGCCCAGCAGTCCCACGACGCAAATGACCGAGTAGAGAGCCGTGATGGACACGGCGATGACCATCCCCCCGGCGCCCCTCACCGGGCTCCCGGGCTCCGTGGCGTTCAGCTCGGCCAGCTCCTCCGGGAAGGTGACGTTAAAGGGGATGACGGAGTACAGGTCGGACAGGGAGAGCTGCGCTGCGGCTCCGGGGACCGTGTAGGGCTCCATGTCCGCCTCACCGAGTCAAACTGGCTCACTGCTAACTGTCGGGATCTAACGCCACAAATGATTGAATCAAAGAACAGAAAAGAACAGAAAAGAAGCAGAAATTAAAAGATAGTTTTTTCCCCTCCTCTCCCTCTAAAATCCAGGAGGAACAGAAAGATGTGTCCTCGAGGCAGCGGTGTGTTTGTGCGCGCGCTGCGCTCCTCCTTTATGGTCCGCCCTTCAGCGCGTGCAGTCAGCAGCTTCTGGTGAAGTTTGGGACAAAGATGAGGAGATATGGATTCTATTTGTTCTCCAGACATTGTTCCCTATCATTCATTCATCCATCCATCCATCCATCCATCCATCCATCCATACATGAATGAGACCTAAAAATGCGTGGATTTTTAGGTTTCATATGTAAGCCTTTCTGCCATAAACATGTAATATTTGTTTTAAATATATTTATTTAATTATTAATAATTTATTTATTTATTTTTATTTTAAACTTTAAATAAACTCATCGCTCAGTTGGAGCGTGTCCAGTCCAGGCGTCTGCAACCTGCAAGTGGCTCTTTGGACCTTCAGCAGTGGCTCTGTCTAAAAATGATTTCAAAAGAATCAACTAATGTTTCAAATATAAATTTATTAAGAAATGCTTTTATCACTGGCTCTAAAAATACAAGTAATATTACTTTAGTTATATTTTTGTGTCATTAAGCTGGAAATCATTTACTTTTTTTTTCATTTTTTATTTTCCACAAATGTAAACATCCCACACAGAGGGAAGCATATCTGTTTTTCTTTTCTGCATATGTTTCATGTTTTTTCTTTATTTTAAACCTCAAAACAGCAATTAAATGAAGCTCTTTAGAAATGTCAAATTTTCTGAAGTTTGTCAACTTCAAAAATTTGAAATTTGTCTCTCTTGTTTTTTAAAGCTCTTGTACCATTTGCAGCTGTAAACACGTCTTATTTAGCTGGGCTAGCTGCCATGTGGTTCCTGGGGTTTGTACAAGCAGCTGAACTCTGATCTGGCCTTAATGTCTGTGAAACAACAAAGAAAAGACAAACCTTAGCTACGTCTTCAATGTTCAGGGTAACATCTATCATCATAAGAGGGTATAACTTCACCTCGAACTGCTCTGCCTGGTGCCAGGAGGCTGGAGCAGCTCTGTTATGCTAATTCTGAATTATTCTTTTTGTGGACTTCGGTTCACAAATTCTTTGGTTGAGTTGTTGATGTTTGGACAATTATTCCCTATGCAGCTAGGAGTTTTCTTACTTTCAGACAGTTGCTAAGGTGTGTAACCATGGCAACAAGGTGTAGTTTACAACTGGGAGCAGCTGATTAGCATCTCATAAGCTCTAATAACACCTGAACTTTGAGCCCAAATTCCAGAGTTGAAGAAGATGCTCCATGGATGCAGAGAAGAAAAAGAAGGAGGAAGTTTAAACCATCATTGGACAGTCTTCTGTCAGAGACCTCTTCAAATTCACTGCAAGACTGACTGCTACTGGAGTTCCTTTTCTGCCCACAGCATCACCATCCACAAAGAGGTACTCTACTGACGGCGAGATCTAATTTCCCTTTGGGACAGATAAAGTTCTTTTTTATCACAGTTGAACTCAATTGAAAACAAACAATTTATTATTGGAAGCAAGAAGGATTCCACTGGGGCAGCAACATCTGAACTCTTTGTTCTCGTGTTTGCAGCCTGTGGAAAAGTCAAAGTCAGACAAAGCACTGTGCACAAAGCAGTGAGCATGTTTGTTGTTTCTACTTGGAAGCTGTGGGCAGGAGAAAACACAGAGCAGGATCAATAACCCTCCTGTGGACTAATTAAAAGGTGTGTGTGATGCTGCAGAGAAGGAAGCCACACTTGGTCTCAGAGCCTCTTGCTGTACAATCAAGTGACCAACACTTTGCACTTCTTATGAACCTTTAGAAACTCTTTGATTTAAATGGTAGTTGGCAACAAGAAGGATCGAGATATTTCTCCAATTCAGATATAAAGTATTTACTACACAAGGCCCACAGTGTGACGACAAGTTTCTTTGCTGATAAAGCCGCTTTAATTTACATAAAATGTCAGGACACTTTGGTGAACAAAAGCAGCTCCATCAACACAAATAGCAAATCACATAACAGCAACTCAACGCATTTATGTCTGTAGGTGTGGTGAAGAAGACGTGCAGAAGTTGAAACTAACCATCACAACGTGGAAGAAAGAGGATTTGATAATGTGGTGAATAGTCTGAGTATTTCAGAAGCTTTTGGTTTTCTGGGGTTTCCTCTCCAGCATGGGGAGATTCTGATCTGTGAATGCAAAACGACACACAGAAGAGTTCAGAACCGCAAACTGATGCTCACCTGAGCTCACCAAACATCACAGAGTAACAGATTGGAAAAATGTTGTCTGGTCTGTTGAGTCTCATTTTCATCAGAGTGTGGCGTAAACAACATTAAAGTGTGGATCCGTCCTGCTGTTAATCTACTGCTGTTTTCACACCTGATGGTCTGGTAGAATCAGTTTGATTGTTCTGTTTTCAGCTGCTGTGGTTCTCATTTCCTCTGCACTGTCAAACAAACCAAACCCTTTGAAAGCCTCTTCCCCTCCTCGCCTGTGGCGGCGCTGCACCCAGAACCACTGAAGGAAACAACATGAAAACCTTTGAAGAAGACAATGAGAACTTCCTTCTTTACAAAAATGTAAACAAAAGTGAAGTTGCATCAGATTTGACCAGTTTCTATTTTGTCTTTGGTTGAAGACCACAAGCCATTTCTCCCACTCACTCCTTTGTTTTGGTTGTGTTTACCCAGAATGCTCTGCGCTATAACGCACTACCTGTTTTTGGAGCTGCTCCTCAGAACCACACCAAGGTATTCTGTCCAGTCTGTGTAATAACTCAGACACATTTCTGCAGCCGATCTCAGGAGTTCGTGAAGACAAATCGACCAAACAGCAGCTGCAGTTTGCTCAACCAGAAACTCAGGGTTATTGATTGGGTAAGACTTCCAGTTTCTTATCAGCTGCCACCAGTTGGTTCTAAGGCCTCGCCAAGGCAAACAGGTTCTCTTTTACCTGCTCTGAAATAAAAACATGTGGTCTCAAGTGCTTCATAATTTCCATTAAGGCACCACTGCAGCTCCAGGAAGTCTTTGTAATTACTGTCCTGTTCAGCCATTCCTCTTCCCACAGCAGCAGAATCGCAGGCTTATTAGGAATATGTAAAGTGACACAGTATGCGGCGCGTCTCTGAGTCTCCCGCTCCTAACCTCTGCCATCGGTGTGTAATTGACCCGGCTGTCACTTTACTAAGCTTCTTTGTATTTTAATGAGTCCTGCTCTCAGTTGGATTTTTTTTTTCCTTTTCTCTCTCTCACTTGAATTGTTACCCAGGATGAGCATCGGTTCATTATTACTTCTGGATGAAAGTCATCTTAGAAACACAGAGGGATGATGTTGTTGTGCATCTCTGGACTCATCTCTCTTATTTTGGAAAGTGATTTCTTCATGCTAAGCAGACGTTCAGACAGATAATTATTATAGTTTTCACTCCAAACCTGTGGTGCTGGGTTGAAACAGTTAGCAGGAACATAACACTGGGTTACAAAAAATATTTTTTGGAAGTTGTCTAGTTTTTTTCAGTTGAATTGGGATTATTTAGCACTACTAAATCCAAAAATTATATAATTTTTCCTTAATCAGGTCAGGTTTTTATTCTAATTTGATTTAGAGAAATTTGATCTTCTGACTACATCTGGTGACATTTTTGTGACATCATCAGTTCATTTCCATTAATATGTATCATCCAAAAACAGGTTTTAGGAGAAAAAACATGTTTTCTAACAGAGTGTATTAATTCAATGTTACAAACCTGGATTTCTGTAAATTGAGTAATAAACACTGATAAGGGTAAAAACATGTAGATTGAATATCACATCTTCACTGTGTAATATTCTCTGTCTCTTCTCTGTCCTGGTGGAATCTCTCCTCCTGCTCATCACTCATTGGTCCGATCCAATGAGTGATCTTTGAAAATATGGTCAAAAAGGTACTATTTGGTGAAATGTTTCTTTAACAAGGAGCTCCTGGACCACCACCATTTTGTAACCAATTAGATCCTTGAACAGCTCTCACTAAATATTTGACCTCTCTCTGTTGGCAGAATGACGAGTTGGTTTCAGAATCAGCTTGTTCAAATGTCCAACAATTTTTGAGTCCTCAAGTCATTCAAATCTGACCCCTAGCATAATGCTAGGTTGCGTTCACAGAGTCCACACAACTCAGATTATGCACTGTAAAATTTTCACTCTGGAACTCTGTTAAAAAATAAAATGGTTAGGATCATATGATCCACAGGTTCCCCATGTGGAGAAGAGGCACAAACAATTACAAATGCTGATGTTCTAGAAAAAGACGTTCTCATCTTTTGACTTTCCCATTGTTCTGTTTGTCCAATTAGTGCAACCAAAGAAAGCTCTAAATGCAGCCAGGAAGAAGCGACTCCACATTCCTGCTCCTTATAAGTTGATTTTCCAAACACAACCTAGTCTGGCTGTGACCAAAAATAAAAATGACAAAAATAAAGTCACAATGGCACAGAAACTCAATAGGAGTTAATTGGATCAAAGTCCTTTAACATTCCACTCACTGTTTTTTGGGGGGTTTTCTTTGACAAGTTCTGACTCAGCAAAAGCCAAATCTGATCACAGTCTGCATGATGAAAAACGGCGCTCTAAAACAGAGCCGAGATCCCTGACCAAGCCTCAGTGTTTGGTGCTAATGAGGATATATTGCTCTCACCTCCTTCCAACTGTTTAATCACAGCATGAAGACAGCTGGATGTCACTTCATATAAATAAGTGAGGCATGGAGCTGGAAAGGCAGAGAACAGCATAGACTGCTGGAAATGAATATCACACCTAGTTTTACATGAGGATGTGTCATATTATCCTGCCTGTAACTTAGTAATCCAACTTAAACTTTTTATGTTTTATTTATATTTGTTTTGCAATTTTGATCTCGCAGTTTCTGTGTGGCGAATTCTGGGTTTCACAAAGTAACAAATCAATATTTGTCCCACAGGCACTGAGAATATGAAACTAACTGGGTTTTATACTAACAAAGGAGGAAGAACAGACTTTAACATCTTGACTGCAGGGGAGTTCACTTTCAGCTCCTAAATGAAAACTGCATATCATAAAGTGCCTGAAAATCAAATTTTAAGTTACCTGATAATAT